AATACGTGATAACTCTTAAAATAGTAGCATATTTTCCAACATAGGTCATAAGCTATCTCTGTGCGAAATGCCATACAAATCTGTTCAGTCGTTTCCGCGTATTAATTTAATTAAAACTTTTTTAACAGGTGGCAACTCTTTCAAAAAATTAGCCTATTTTCCACTGTAGGTCATAAGCTATCTGGTTGCAAAATTTCATGCAAATCCGTTCAGACTTTTCCGCTTATTAATTTAATTCAAATTTTTTAGCAGGTAGTAACTCTTAAAAAAGGTAGCCTATTTTTCAACCTAGCTCATAAGCTATCCGTGTGAAAACTTCCATGCAAATCAGTTCAGTCATTTACGCGTATTAATTTAATTAAACTTTCCTAATACGTGATAACTCTTAAAATAGTAGCCTATTTTCCTACATAGGTCATAAGCTATCTCTGTGCGAAATGCCATGCAAATCTGTTCAGTCGTTTCCGCATATTAATTCAATTAAACTTTTTTAACAGGTGGCAACTCTCCCAAAAAATTAGCCTATTTTCCACTGTAGGTCATAAGCTATCTCTGTGCGAAATGCCATGCAAATGTGTTCAGTCGTTTCCGCGTATTAATTCAATTAAACTTTTTTAACAGGTGGCAACTCTTCCAAAAAATTAGCCTATTTTCCACTGTAGGTCATAAGCTATCTCTGTGCGAAATGCCATGCAAATGTGTTCAGTCGTTTCCGCGTGATGATTTCCCAAACATCCAAACATACAAACTTTCACATTTATAATATTAGTAAGATAAGATTAGTAAGATTTAACGATTGTCAAAGGCATGCCAGAAGATGTTTCATAATAGGTTTGCGGCCATGGTCTTCTTCGAGTAGGTTCTTCGATTCCAAAAACTTTACAAACCTCTATATGCTAGCATCCCTTAGTGTTTTTGCCAATGACATGGCACTATTGCACTGTTAGTAACCAAATTTAGCGGCAGTTGCATTCACACGTGTCAGCAAGCTGTGGGAATGCCCAGCAGATGGCGTTTGTTCAGCTATCGAAATCACTGCACCGACGGCTGTGGGCAGTACTGCTGGTACATATTTACCACAGCAGTGGTTGGGGCGTTCTGTTCTGCAACAATGCAATGATGACATGTCCTATAATGTCGACGAACAAAGATATAAAATTGAAAATAACTAACCTTATTCCCAGCTGATTTGGGAGACCACCCTTGGTCACGACCAGAACGCATTTACCAAGAGGAAAAACCGCAGGGATTGCAGTAGTTCTTACAATCACCGTTGATGCTGTGCTTGTAATTAATAGCTTTTCAGACTATACAGAAAATTGCATTAATCAAATGTTAAACACATCAAATAAATAAATTTCAATAATTTGTTTACCATTTCACAAACCGAGTTACCAAGAAATAGAAACTCACCGCGATGCGATACAGAAATAAAAACCAACAGGGCTGCATTTTCTTGGTAAACAACACAAGCGCTCAGAGCAATCTCATCCGCAATATTATTTTGTAAAAGATGATTATCGCATTATCTAATTAGCGCACATTATTGGGTTTATTTTTAGTAGAATATAATTGTATTATCTCAGACTTTTTATCAATGTTTTCTAATATTCTTTCTTTTGGCATGCAAAAGCAACCATGCGCTCAATTTCTTGTGGGGAAATTTGGTCCCCATAAAGGACTTTCACCACGAAACAGCTACAAAAACAAAAAACTTTTCTACTGGTATACTGTGGTCATAGTCGAAATAAAGTCCACTGAAAAGTTATTTGTAGTTATTTTTTACAGGCATCCCATTGGAAACATACAGCAGCCCATTGGTAGAGGGCTTCGGGTGTACGAATTTGTTGTAACATCAGAAGTTGAACACTTGCTCTAGCTGGTAATCTCTTAAAATTTATTCCAATCAGGTCGTAAGCAGATTTCCCATGTGAACTTGCAACAAGGTTTAATTCTGCCATTTCCTTGAAGGCATTTTCATGATTTCAGACCTTTAATATGATTTATTCATATTGTTTTTCTTTTTAACACACCTTTCCCCTTTCAAAAATATACAATTTATAAAATTTCAATGCCTATTTATCAAATTGCTCGAGTGTTACACGATCAATTGAAGATATTTAAAAAATTTAAAATCTTCTGCTTTTCGCATATTTTTAGTATGTTGAGTTTAATTAAATTAAATTACACCTAATGTATCACGTAGAAATTTTATAAATTTGGCGAAGCTGGTGAGAGCGATCTAGTTAGTGCATTCGAATATTTTTACAGGTACATAATTTATAACGGTTAATCCCGACTGATGTTATGTTCAGTTTAATTAAAATAAATTACACCTAATGTATCACGTAGAAATTTTATAAACTGAGCGAAGCTGGTGAGAGCGATCTAGTTAATGCATTCTAATGTTTTTACAGGTACATAATTTATAACGGTTAATCCCAATTGATATTAGACAAAAGAACAACCAAAAGGAGAAAAACGCATTTTGCACGATTTTTGAATAGTGTGAAAGAAAGTGTTCATTCAATAGTGTTCGCTTTATTTATGGAAACGAAACATGTTTTGGAAGTCCTGGGTCCTTTCTACTTTCTTCATCAAATATTTCTCGTATTCCAGCTCTTTTAGGGTTTGGATCTTCGCAACGTGTTTTTATTATATTCTTGTGTCTAGATGGAAGCACTGATGATTTGGCATTAACCTCATTCATCTAGAATCTAGATATGGAAACACCTACGGTGCAATGTTTATTGTAACAACATTCATATCTCACGTGCGATACAATCAGGGTTGCCGCTTTGGAAAATTGTTACCAAAATTGGTAGAAAAAATTTGGGTTGGTAAAAATGTAAATTTTTTCTCATTTTGGTAGGTTTTTGTTGAACTTTTCGTTCCCGATTTATTTTTCGTAGTTATCTTCATATTATAAATTTCTTTGCATACTTTTTATATACTTACATACGTATAAATGTATATCGAGATTAGGCGAACATATCGTGCTCCATTCAAAACTAATTTTACTGGAATCCCGAGGAGCTTTTGATTGCCTAAATATTTTAAATGATTATTAAAATACATATAAAGAAATATTGACAGGTATGTAATGACGCAATATGATTGTTCGCAAAAAAAAAATTAAATCAACGCCATTTTTATCAATAGAAATTGTTAAATAAAACAAGTAAGAAATTCTAAGTTCGGGCGGAGCCGAACATTAAATACCCGGCGCAAGTATTAAAAATATTTTTTTTCTCCGAAACCTACCGCTAGATGGTAAGCCGGGGTGTATCAATTTTGAGTAAATTAGAGTCCTTAAATTTCGAAATATTGAAGTTTCAAGCATTTCTGAAATTTACCGTTATATGAAAAGCGGCCGTAATTTTAGTCCGATTTCAATAATTTACAACGTCTTGCTTATATGTGGCAAGCACAATAACTATACCGAGTTTGGTACAAATTGGTAGAACGGTTACCGATATACATATATGTGATCATAAGTGGGCGGTGCCACGCCCATTTTCCAAAATTTTACCATAAACGTATTTCTTGGTAAAGAATTGTTGCAAGCATCAATTTTGAATAAATTAGCTTCAATATTTACTGATTTATCGAAGATTTTGTATTTCTCTAAATTACCGTTATATGGGATGTGGGCGTGGTTATTGTCCGATTTTAAAAAGTTTCGGCGGTTTTTTATGCTGTACCAAGGCCAACAACTGTGCCAAGTTTGGAAGAAATTGGTGCAGCGGTTACCAAGATATACACATGTAACCATAAGTGGGCGTGGCTACGCCCATTTTCCAAAAATTTATAATATTCTTATTTTTCGTCTAAAAATTATTGGAAATATCAATTTTGAGTGAATTATCTTCAGTAGTTACTAAAATATCGCAGTTTTCGTATTTCTGGAAATTACCGTTATATGGGAAATGGGCGTGGTTACAGTCCGATTTCGCCCATTTTCAATACCAACGTACCTTGGATTAAGGGAAACCTACATACCAATTTTCGTTGAGATACCTCAATTTTTGCTCGAGTTATCGTGTACACGGACGGACGGACAGACAGACATGGCTTAATCGGTTTCTTTTTTCATCCTGATCATTTATGTATTCGTTTTGGCTGTTACAAACAACCGTTATGTGAACAAAATTAATATACCCTTGTGCACAAGTGCGCTCGGGTATAAAAACACAAAAGACTGGCGGCAAAAAATTAAAAAAAAAAAAATCAGCGGGAATTACATTGTGAGCTATAGTCAAGTATTAACTTAAATTGTTCTAAAAATTCAGAGTAAAAAATTTGAAATTTGGACAAAAATTTTTTGAATTTTTCCAAATAATGTATATAGTTTGAATCCTTAATTTTTATGGATTTAGTTAAAGCAGCACCAAATTTTTTCTTGAAAAACATTGCGAATAATAAAAAAAATCAGCAAGTGCTTTTTTGAGTCTCTGTATATGTTTTTCAAATTATGAAGTTTCGTTGTTGTCTTTAGTTTTATCACTTCCGCTTTTGGTTGAAGGAAACTGCGAATATGCCAATAATATGACTAATATAATATGAATAATATGACCGTATAATTAGTTAAATAAAAAGTTCCTTAAAAACAATTTTTATTCTTATTGAAATAACTAAACAAATAGAAAAATAGTTTAATTAAAATAAATAAAAAAATAACAAAACTATAGTTTTTATTAAAATAACTATACAAAATTTATTGGTAGATATTTTCCAGATTTGGTAGATTTTTCTCAAGTGGATGGTAAATATTTTTTTCAGCAGTGGCAACCCTGGATACAATAACAAAATTTTTTCCATTTGAGTCATTTACTTTATTTCCCTTTTTTTTACTTTATTTCGCTTTTGAAAAGGTAATAATGTCAATTGACTTAATTTCGCACCACTATGCGAAATCGTGTCAACTGATGTTATTTCTGTTTATCTTGTTACCTGTCACCAATCAATAAATTAAATTAATTTATCTTTTTCTCACATAGTTTTATCCGAAAATGGTCGAAAAAGGCGGACACATTGTTTTAATAGACGTTGATGTGGTAAATGGAGGCATGAAGCTTAATGAGGAATTTCTTGTGGACTTTGGTAATGAACCGCATGGACCTTCACTTCCCCATGAAATGCGTTACCCGGGCGGAGATTGCACCTCGGATATTTGGTTGGCAACAGACGGATAATAATAAAAAATGCTATAAAAAAGCGCAATGAACAAATAAGAATACAACTTTACAAAAATGTAAGGATACTATTACAAGATAACATTAGCTCTTCTTTAAAATTTTATGGAGTACAAATTCATTCGATGATATCTGTATTTTTGAAATTTTTTTTATTTTTATTAAAAATAACAAAACCACTTAATCAGTTAATTTTTCTTTATTGTTATTCATCAGCGGTAAATACCAAACCTACAAATAAGGAGTCGGTATCTCTCAAGGGCATAAGTCCCACCTCATTGTATTCGAGTAAAATAAATTTTTCTTTGCATTATGTAGATGTGCACATTTTTTATAATCTTTGTGTGGCTGGCAACACTATCAAAGAAAAAAAGCTAATAATAGGAGAAAGTACTGGGTGCACCCACCGTTTAACGTGAGGAGCATAAAGCACACACGGCTGCCACTTTGGTAAAATGATACCAAACTTGGTAATTTTTATTCTGTTTTGGTAGTTTGGTAACTTCCGAAAGCACTTGGTAACTTTCAGACTAAATTCCTAAAAACCTTAAAGTATTTTACAATATCGGCGGCAAAGTTACATACACGGAGCAAATTTCTTACGGAACGAATTTGTTTTTGATGATACATACGAAATTAAATTGTGAGTTATGATTGGCGATGTTCACAATCATACATATGTGCCACAAGGAGCTAAGATCAGAAATTTATTTCTTAAAACTCTTACACAATATTGATTTCAAATAAGTTAATAGTAAAAACAAATATTTTTAAAGCAAGCTTTCTGAATATGAACGAAATCGGACCATGAATACTGGTTTACCGCATATGTATATCGACTCGTGCGCCACCTATCGGCAACATTTTTAGTGGAGTTATTCCTTTCGATGTAGTTCATACACGTTCCAAATATGAACCCAATCGGACTATAAATACGGGGTTTTCAAATATCTCGACTCCTGCGCCCCTATCGGTGAACTCATCTTTCACTGTATGTAAAATTGCTCGCTACGTCTGAAAATCGAGTCAATTTATTTTCCTATGGTTTTAGAGATTTTTGTAGTTTACCGTTATTCAGCTAAAAAAAATTGAGTCCACTAATCACACAGTTAGCACATCAGTTTTCGATAGGCCTAGTAGTTTCTGAGAAATTTATGAATCACTCCAGATTTTTTTTTATGAAAAAAATTAAAAAATCTAATTCAAACTCAGCACGGGTTATGATAAAATCTAGCTACTAACAAAGAAAATCGATAGATAAATACAATATGGGCAGGAGAGGGTATTACTCACACGTGCACGCCAAACAGGGTTGCCACTTTGGTAAATTGTTACCAAAATTGGTAGAAACAATTTGGGTTGGTAAAAAGGTAAATTTTTTCTCATTTTGGTAGATTTTGTTTAATTATTTTGTTTGAAAACGCAATAAAACTTTTCGTTCCCGCTTTATTGTTCGTAGTATCATTATAAACTTTTAAATACATACGTATACATATAGATATATCGTTAACTGGCCGTCTCCACAGAATAAAACTTATTGCTGTCCAGCTGTAATTTTGGTAGATATAAATTATATCAGTGGCAATATTTGTGTGCGCTTTTTATCTTGATGTAAGTATCTGTGAGATAGCTTCTAAAACGTAGTTTTGCCGGATTTGATCACTTAAAAAATTTAGAAAATAGGCTATTTTACACCAAGTACATAATTACAAATATTTTAACCGAAAACAGTTCAATATTTGCTTTTATATTAAAATATCAGTAATGTTGCCGCCACGAGTTTTCATGCAAATGAACATGTAGCTGTCAAACTACCAAACTGCCGGCAATAGATGGCAAGATATAAGCTCTGATATATATTACTCTTGAAGAGCAATGAGCGGTCTCCATTGGCTATTTATATTCTAACATATGTATCAAGATATAAACTTTATCCTGTGGAGACGGGCAGTAAAAGGCGAACATATCGTGCTCCATTCAAAACCCATTTTATAGGAATTCCGAGAAGCTTTTGATTACCTAAATATTTTAAATGATTATTTAAATAAAAAGAAAAAATGGACAGGTATGTAATTACGCACTATGATTTTTCGCAAAAAAAGTTTTGATCAATGCAATTTTTTTCCAATGGCAATTGTCAAATGAAAAAAAAAACACAAAAAACTGGCGGCAAAAATAATTGAAAAAATTAACAGAAATTTTTAGATGCACATTGTTGGTTATATTCAAATATTATGGGCTATAAAATTCGAAAATCGAAAAATTCAGAGTGAAAAGTAGACGAAAATTTTTGGAAGCGAAAACAATATTCTTGTGCAAAAAAAAAAATGCCAAAAAAATTTTTCTTGAAAAAATTTTGAATATTAAAAAAAATTACCAAACCGATTGGTGATTGGGTGACTGAAATGGTCTATAATAACTCGAGTTGAAGTTTTTTCCAATGATGAAGCTTCGTTGCACGCCTTTAGATTCACCCCTTTCGCTTTGGTTTAATGAAACTGAGAATATGCCATTAATATGATCTCAAATACNGAAATTTTTAGATGCACATTGTTGGTTATATTCAAATATTATGGGCTATAAAATTCGAAAATCGAAAAATTCAGAGTGAAAAGTAGACGAAAATTTTTGGAAGCGAAAACAATATTCTTGTGCAAAAAAAAAA